TTTAATCTTAAAAAATTAAACTTTCCATGCTAATTAATTGAAAATTTCTTATATAGTTAAGAAATTTGAATTTATAGAGGGACGAGACTCAAGTTTGTGTGTTGTGCTGCTGAAGAATCCAGTCAATTTTAGGAACCATTTTTTATTCCACAGCACAGAACATTAAAGTTACAACACACAAGACAAAACAGAGAACAATATCACGATACAAGCACACAGACTAGAATGACAGAGAGCAGTGGCGAATCCAGGATTCGGGTCTGGAGGGGGCTGAGGTCATAAAAATTTTGTGTCGTAGTGACGAATGTCAAACCTCATGGCTTATATAAACCAAAACACTTTAACTTTACAGACTTTACTCACCTAACAATAAGAACAATAAAGAACAGTACAATAATTTCAATAATTTAATAAAAAATACAATGAAATAACTAGCCAAAAAGTGTTTTCGACCGTGCCAACGCTACAAGTGCAAGTGGAATGACTAGAAAAGTAGGACAATTTTCGAGCCTGTCAAGTCAGAAAGCAATGTTGTCACGATTTTATTACTATTCTTTTAAAATGAAAATTAAGATCAAACAGTTGTAGTGATTTAAAATTAAAGCAAGATTTTTGGTTTAGCTCTGGGGGGGGGGGGGCGGCAGCCCCATAGCCCCTCCCCTGGATTCGCCACTGACAGAGAGGCATCATGGGAAAAGATGGCTCCAGTAGCGCCACCTACCATAGAAAGGAGAAGGCAGTTGATTGTTACCGCTACAAATTGAAATATTAAAGAAACTTTTGGCTCTAGCAAGATTTTGTTGAAAGTTTACAGTTTTTAAAGGGGACAAATTCGAGAATTTTTATAATTATTTATTGTATTTAAAAGCTTTCTGGATACATTTTGTTTGCTGATGATTGAAATTGTTTAGGCTGGTGCGATTTAATACAGATGCTGTTCTTTTCCAAAAAGATCTTGATCATTTGTATCAATGGTGAATGAACAATAAATTACTTCTGAATATTGAGAAGAGTAGCATTCTTAGTTATACCTGTAAATCTCGACTTTTAATTTATTTTTGTCAAATGAATAATCTTGCTTTATTTCGCTCCTATTCAGTTACTGATGTAAGTGTTATTTTTGACATAAAACGAGTTTCTGTAGAGTCCATTTTCTTTAAATAAATAAAAAATGAATTGAATTGTCTTACAAACGAAAGATTTTCTTTTCTGTCAATGCAAAATAAATGGACACATCATTTATGCCATTTATAATTTTGCCAATTGAAAAAAGGAGACTTTTGACAAAACTTTTTTACAAAACAAAGCACAAAAAGTTCCAACCCGCAAAAATCCTTCACACAGAAATAAAAAGAATTCTCTAAAGTGATTCTTTTTCTTTACCACTATACCTCCGGGTTGTTTTTCGTAACTTGACAAAAGAAAAGTGAAATCCTGGGAATTTTTGAGAAAATTAGGCCATAGAGAAACCAATGTTAGGTTAACTTACCCTTGACACTTAATACGAAGATAAGACCAGAACTTTCACGCCGAAAATGCAATGGTTAGTAAGGGGCCCAATTGGGTAGTTGATTGGGATTACCTTTCACTGATTCATCTAGAAGAATTTCACAATGCCAAAGAGCACAGACAAAATATTAATGAAGATTTCAAAGCGTGAGAAATAATGGAAAGGCAATAGTGATGAAATTTCCCTCAGGTGGGTCCTTGAGCCCTAAAAAAATAATAATTGTCTCTCTCAGTGACCCCCTCTTCTACCCCGCTGATCGGTGTCCAGAAGAATTGTGAAACTTCTCGAAGCACCTATCAGGGTTGACGAGAAACATTTTATAGGCCAGTGCAACCTTGGTTTGTGATCCCTCTTTTTAGGCTTAGTTCAGAGTTTAAAATTAAAAATCGATATAGGCTTAAAGCGTATTTGCTAATATATTATTTCTGGCATTAATTTCCTAATTATAACGATTATTAGCCTTACATCATCTATGAATTAATTTCTTATCATTTTGCATATTATACCAACCTTTTTTTTTCACTCGCGTACCCCATGATTAATCTTTTTATTTTCGATTACCCTCTACTGTTATTTCCCCCCCCCCCAGCATAAAACGTTTTTATTAATAACTCCAAGGGCTTAGGTTAGCTCAAGAGTCACACGGCTCTAATATACATAATAAAATTTGTAGGACTGATTTTTGATTATACATTTTTTACTATCTCGTATACGAAGTATGCAAAGAGAAAGTACTGTAAAAGTCAAAAAAAAAAAAAAAACTGTCGTCAAAAAAGTAAAAAAAAGGCGTTGAAATTGCATAATTAATTTTTCTAATTCGATTCTCCATACGTATGCGTACTGGTAGCAATCTCTGTGCACGCCGAAGGATTACGTCACTTTGTCCTTGAGCCGACAAGAGTGACGTTTTAATCGGTATGCATCTCTTTGAATTTGATTCTTTACCTAAATATTTTACAATCGCCATAATCTACAATGCAAAACCTTCTGATAGTCATTGGATTACAGTAGATTCGAATTTTTATATCCACGCGGGGAGAGGAGAAACAGCACCTTTCTTGGGTTAAGTATACGAGAAAGTTTAGGGGAGACCACTCTCGCTGGTTACTTTCTCGTATACGAAGTATACAAAGAGAAAGTTCTGTATTCGTCAAAAAAATTCGAACTCGAGATTTTGACGAATCTCCACGTTTTAGACCTCGCTGAGTCCTAAAAACACAATTTTGGAATTATGACTGTATGTGTATCTGTGAACACGATAACTCAAAAACTATTAAAGCTTCAGGGATGGAATTTGGTATATGGTCTTTACACATAATTTGTAGGTTTCTATCAAATTTTGGACAAAATCCGTCCAAGGGAAGTCTGTCTGTATGTCCGTGTTTATGTGAACGTGATAGCTCACAAACTTAAATAGCTGGGTGGATAAAACTTGGTACACATTTTTATCATCAGGAAAGTAGGTTTGTATCGATCTTTGGACCAAATCCTTCGAAGGGTGACTGTCTGTCTATCTGTATAATCGCATAATTTTGAACGCAATAACTTCTTTAAAAAATTGCTTCGATAAATGAAATTTTGTATGTGGCCTTCTTACCTTAATGGTAAATTTGTGTCCAATATTTGTGTCAATCGGTTAAAAAAAAGGCGTTCAAATTGCAAATTTCTTTTTCTTTATCTTACACTCAGCCCTATTGGTAATCACGCCGGCTTCTAATTCCACTTCCGCTTGGACGACCTTCGGAAATCATGGTATGACGTTTCGCTTATTTTTTTCCTCCACTGCGTTAGGGGGTTCTTGTTCGTTTTACTGCCTTTTAGCTTATTTTTTCTCTACATGTGTTAGGAGTATACTAGAAAGTTTAGGGGAGACCACTCCCGCTAGTTTAAAAATAGAATTAGTTCAACGTGAAACGAATGAAAAGATCATTGAAATAATTTCGCATTAACTTATGACGAGAGCTAACAATCACTGAATTACTAGATATTAATCTTTTTCTTCCTGCTTTTATTTCGTGAATAGGCTTTCGGATTCGTACAATTTTCACTTTCACTTTTCATACGCGAACTTGAGGAAACAGAATCTTAGAATATACTTATGTTTTATGTCCTCCGCCATTACCAATACCACAGATTGGGAACCTCTGATATAGGATATGGACCCTCTATCATAATGCAGATTGCAACGTGTATGAGAATATTACCCTTAGAGATGCATTGTTCCTTAAATGAGCAACGTGGCTGTATTTCAGTATTTGTTGGCAATTTCCATACCTCTGTTGAAATGTTCACAGATTATTCACGGATGCGCTTTTAGGACGTTTTGTGGAGAACTAGTTTAAACTTCTCAGGTGATGAACGGGATTGAACTAATTTAATTAGGAGGATTCATCTGCATCATATACAATTCAGAAACGGCTCGATACCGGTAAATAGTTTGTGGTTAATAATTTGTACAATCCGTCAAAAAGTATCCTGTTAAAATCAAGCGAAATATGCAATTTAATTTCATAATGAGTCCTTTTTAATTCCTTCCAAGTCCTGTTTACGTAAGGGCCAGTCTTCATATATATTTGCATATTACAATCAAATTTTCCAATAGCAAGCCTCATTGCTTCTTCTTTTAAACGGTTCTACATAACCCTCCGAATATGAAACTTTAGGTGATTCGACGAACACAACCGGATATATGCACAAGAAAAAAAATCCAAGGGTTATTTCAATTCATGCAGATGCAGAAAATGCATAGTGTTGATGTGTGTTGTAAAGCAAATTAATATAAAGCAAGAATTAATCGGTCGAGTACATCTACAGGCATGTCTAAAAATGGCAATCTTCATTTAACAGTAGGAGGTCTAAATTTCAAGTGGTCATGATTCATCATCCACTTATTTGAAATAACAAAGTTTTATATGAATTCGGACTAATTCATTTCTAATTTAATAGGGAGAATTTGTATTCCATACTGGGTATTTACATTTGAAAAAATTGAGTTAGTGCGAATTTTAATATGAAGATGACAGCTTGCATAAATAAACGTTATATGCACCTTTAGAGACAATTTTATAATTTTTGGTTTCAATGCGCGATAATTAGTTTATGAGTAACTAACAGCGTTTGGATACTTCTTCATGGACTGTACCATCTAATGTTCCTCTCTTTTAAAAGTAACTTTCTATGAATGATCAGTAGAACTCGTTTGTTCATCAATACGCAGGGGAAAAAAGAACAGAGAGAGAGAGAGAGAAAGAACAGCGGGAGTTTTCTCCCCTGCAACTTTCTCGTATACTTACTTATATACAGCGCACTTTGTGTTTAGCTTTCTAGTATATGTAAAGAGAATCGAGCATACGTTTTGAACCTCTTTTGGAAAGAATGGGTCCGAAATTTGTTATAGATCTATAATTTTGGTGTGAAGACCAAATACCGCTTTCATTTATAACATAAAACAAGAATGTGCATTTATTCATCAGCTTATAAAAATCACAATAGGGTCGGCCGGGAGTTGAACCCGGGAACTCTCGCACCCAGGGCGAGAGAATCATACCCCTAGACCACCGAGCCACTTTCTTCTATAACAGGGGTGTAGTGGAGCCGGAACGCACCGGAATGCAGTTTTGGCATTGTTTTTTTTTTCGAGAAATAAAAAAGAGAAAATTATAAAAACCTCCTTAAAACAAAGTGATCTTAGTCACACAGGGGTTAGAGCGTTCCGATACCGCTTAATTTGTGACTACAACACTGGTTTATATAGTTTACAGCGTTTTTAACTTACCATCTTCATATGCACATAAGAGGCTGCTGCGGCTTAGTGGCAAGGTCCCGGCTTTGGAGCCGGAGGGTGCCAGGCTCGAAACCCGATTCCGCTGAGGATCCGCCGTGTATGGGGCCTATTGCGCTCTAAATCATACGTAGTGGCCAAACGTCCTCCCGGTGGTGCGGCGTGGAAGTTTGGAGAGGAGGGTGCCAGCTCAGGCGACGTCCTCGTCATCTGACCATGGGTTCAAAATTCCGATGTTCGTCCTAAAATAGCCTTCGTGTTGCTTCAAAACGGGACGTTAAGATAACCAAACCAATCATATACACACAAATAGATAGTCAACTTGTCGATAGATTTGGTCCAACATTTGATACAATTCTAGAAATAAAACCATATGCCAATTTTCATCTCCTAGCTCGTTGCGGCCTTGAGTTATCGAATTTATATGGATCCAGACCGCTCATTTCTCTTTGACTGATTTCGTCCAAAATTTGATTGAAATTTGCAGTTTTGGTGTCAAGGCCGCATACCAAAGTTCATTAGTCTATCTTTTGCATTTTTGAGCTACTGTATTCACAGCCAGATATAATGTTTTTGTCTTAGGGTGGTCTTAAACGTGGGGTTTCTTCAAAATCTCGAAGTCGAATTGCTTGAGGATTACGGTGCTTTTGCCTTGTATGCTTCATATACGAAAAAATGAAAATCTGAAGCATGACAAAATTGCTAGAAATAGCAGGAAGCTTCGCTTAGAGATTGCCAGCCAAAGTGCAATAATCTGGCTGTACTCCTTTACAAAGGACAAGGACCGCAAAAGACGGGGAAATGGAGTTACTGAGTTACTTTAATGGAAAATTGTTTTATGTATTATACAACTGAAAATTAAAAAGCTTTTAGTTGTTGATTAGGTAATGATATATATTTGTGAAATTAAATATGGGAGTCGAATCTAGAGCTTTCTAGTTCTTTCATTCAGTTTAGTTTAGTTCAGATATATTTACGTCCCGTTTTGAAGCAACATGAGGGCTACTTTGGGAAGGATCTCTTATTTTTAAGCTGTGGTCAGATAACCACCTGGGTAGGTACCTCCTTCTCCACCAGCAGGAACACATTTAAACCTCGACGTCAGATTTAACACGTTCGCTGCCATGACTCACGCATAAGACTGGAACCGTCTATCTAATTAGATTACCAATTTTCTGCTATCTCTTAAATACAGTAGGGGACATCTGATTAGATAGTAGGTGTGAATTGTATTTGATTCATGCGGCAAATAACGTGTTAACGAGCACCACACCTATATACGCGGCTGTTTTCCGGGTGAATCGTCTTTCGAACCTGAAACCCTCCGCGTCAGAAGCCGAGATCTTATGGCTGCAACCACGCTCTTTCATTCAGACATTTTATTAAGTTCATAAATGTAAGTCAAGTATTCAATCTGAGATGGAAAGGAAAGTACATGAAAATCCTATGAATATAAGTCCCATCCCCATGAGAGGGAAAAGACGGTTTAACCCGTTCAACACCCGAAAGTAAAAAGAAGCGCTTCCCCAGACCCGCGCGCTCCGGAAGGATACGTACGCACGGGACCGGGCGATTTTCCCGTTAAGCCTGATTTCATTTAAAAATTCATATAAAATCATTACTGCAAGTAAATACGCTGAAATTTACAATCTATTATCATTGATAGTGTATCCGAATATAATGTAATAAAATTTTCATGATATTTAAAAAAACAATTGAACTAAAATAAAATTTTCCCCAAAAATACAAAATACTGTCTAGCCAGCTCCAAACTGCGAACGATAATTTCTACTCCAACCCCTAACCAATAAACATTCCATCCTTTATCGTGCCATTAAAATATTAAAAAAATCCCCCTCAAAATAAATCATAGCTCATTAATTGCTTAATCATTAATGAGCATTAATTATTAATTGCTTAATTGCGCAATCCTAACAAGCGCAGTTGTTTACATAATGAAATGGCACTGATAAAAAAAGAAAAACCCGGAACCGAAAGTACATAATGAAGGTCAACACTCTGATGCAACATTATTGGAAAAAGTAACGGTTTTTTACCGCCATCTGGTGCCGTTTAAAAATTCAAATAAAACGTTCAAGTTGCGATCACATATATGAGACGATGGGCTGTGGGGAACGGAAAGAGTGATCACATATATACGATGATGGTCCTGAAGGGGTTAACAATAACCAATGCTCTTCCTTGACACGGTAATATGCATAAAATTGAGGGCCCAAGTAATTTATCATTTTCGAAATGAGAAGCCATCAATTTGCAATATATGGGAAGATAATTCTACATTATTATTTCCATAATTATTTTTTAACAGAAATGATTCAAAACACCTGATATGGATGAATCAGAAACAAAAGATTGAATCATTGCAGTTAGATTAGAAATTACATTAATTTATTACATGTTATTTCATGTGTAGATGCTGTAACATTAATTTATTACATGTTTGCCGTTAAAATATTTGATAATCTCGCTAAACTTGCGCTTAAGAATCGGGATATTACGTCGCAGGGTGGAAAAAAAAATACTCCTCAGATTTACAGTTCAGCCTTACAGTTAAGAAAACTGGAGCAATTATTATGGAAGCCGAGTGTGGATTTGACTAATGTCTGATTGACTAATGTTTGACTAATGACTTACCTACTGATTAATCAGCTTTCTCGACGAAGTAATCATTGCGTGTTTGCTGCAGATGCTCAAACTGTTACATCTACTGAAAACATTTAAACATCACACTTCTTTTAAGAGCTTACTAGATCACGATAACAGATCAACGTGTTCTTTTTTATTTTTTTTTTTCATTCACCAGTTTTGACGATAAAATTGCGAAAAAATTTCGTGTCGAAATATTTCTTTAAATATTATTATAATTTTTTTATCACGATTCATTTATTTTAGTTAAGAAATTTCAATAATCAGAAAAATATTTATTGCAGTCAAATAAAATTTATTAGTTCTTTTATGAAAGATCTGAACTCTCTAGAATTCATTGTTATGTTTAACACCTCTATTGCCATTCGATCCAATGCAAATTTTCCTTTAAGGATGAAAGGTGAGCATTTAATTATTTTTATGCAAGGTAAACATTAGCAAGGCCGTTTTCAGTTTCATTGCATTAAAGCTGCAGAGAAGAATTCTCCACTGTTCCACTGTTAATTTAATTTTTCATTAAAAAGCTTTTTATTCCTTAACCTTTTCTCGTTCATTGGTTTCGCAGTGAAACCATAAATTGAACATTTTTTTACTGCGCATGGGCGAAACGAAGTGTAATGTTTCTTTCATAACTTAAGAGCCAGACATATAGGACAACTTATATAAAAATTCCAGTTCAATAATGTTAGTATTCACAAAGATATCGGCATTGCAAGAGCTGAATAGCTTTTGAGCTCTAAGATAAACAAAATGATGAGGGTTCTTGCACAAATTGATATTTTTTAAAATTGAATTTTCGAAAGTAATATTGAATTTTATGAAGGTTGAATATCCTGAATACTCGCGTATACTTATAAATTAAAAACATAATTGAAATTGCATTTCGATGATAACTCATTCGGAGGAAAAATAGCCCATTACCGTTCATGGGTTTCACTGTGAAACCACAAATGTCTCGAAAATAAAAGTTGCTAATTTTTTTCTTTAACAAATTTATGATCAGCTACATGTATAATACTCATTTTTGAAATAAATTTAGTAATTTTCAAAATAAAACATGTAGTGAACTTGAAATGGTTAAGAAGAACCAGATTTGGGAAGCGTCATACACAACTGTTGGTTATTTTTTTATAAAAACAAACTATTGACAGGGTTACTGGTTTCCCGTGGTACAAAAGGAGTTATTCGTTAAATTAAAACGCACGTTTTTAAAAGATTATATGATTTTCATTGTTATTTTGTTTCAAAAAGAATTTCGCAAAAAATAATCAGACTGTTTAGGGATAGGTTGTTTTTATATCCAGACAAATTATTTCGTGAAAAATAATCAGACTGTTTAGGGATAGGTTGTTTTTATATCCAGACAAATTATTTCGTGCAAGAAACTGTTGAATTCAGTTTAGAACGTTTTTAGATACTAACTGAATTATACTAGACAATTTTTCGAGATGATATAAATTATCATAGCTGAATTAGCAATATAAATCTATACCAGCTTTCTTGCTGAAAAAAACAACAAATTTGAGCATTTAATTATTTTTAAAAATTTACAAAATTAACCATTGCAAATCCCACACGCAACAAGAATACACGCGTATTCTGCTACAAGGAAAATAATAAAGAAATCTCATTCACTGACTCTGGTAGCAATTTTTTTTATGCAATCTGAGACATTTTATATCTTTTGCGATGCTATAAATTGTTCATTACCGAGTTAGAATAATCATAGAGCATAACACGCACGCTCGCAAACCTACTCTGATTCTTGAAGTATTTTTTCTATGTCACCTGAGGCTTTCTATGACAGTTTCTTGAGATGCTATAAGATTTTCACATCTGAGTTTGAATTAAAATACTGTTTCAGTTTTATCTATTGAAAAGTCATATGAATGTTTAAATCTAACTATTAATATAAAGTAATATAATTTAAGTTTAATCTCGACGGTTATTTTTTAACAACTGGAAATCTTCCAGACAAAAGCAAATCACTGACACCATGAAGACAAGAGACATCTTAACTGATCCTTGCGGAATTCTAATACAGCTTATTTCTGAGACTTTATTCATGTTTCAAGGCTTTATTTATCTTCATGGACTGAAATTTTATTTGTCTTTA